CGTCCTCCATCCTTTCCTCTTCGTAAGAAGCTGGTTCTAGGAGAGGCCCCCTTGATATGGAAAATGGGTTCTAGGAAAATGTATGCTTAAAGACAAGTTGCAAAACCCTTGTAATTCAACAACCAAAGAAACTAATCCATATAAACAAATAAGTAAAGGTTTGCTACTTCAATTCTCCAGATAAAAGATCTAAATGACCCAACAACTTCACACATGGTTACATGGTGGGGAACCCAAACAGGTTGTGTAATTCTTTCTTGAGGAAGCCAATCTAGACACCAACCCTTAATCCGATATCATCTCCACGCGGAAAAAAGTTTCTGTTTGCCTGATATTTCTGGGGATCCCAGACTTTGTTTCACTCAATTTCATAGAGATTTGAAGCTTCACTTTCTTTTTTGTATATCTATAATTGTTAGAACTAGATAGCAATGTATTGGAGTAGGTAGCAGGATGGTTATGCTAATTTACATGAGTCACTTAAGCAAGGGTAAAAGTAAGCCACATGTGAGAGTTTGATTTTCTTCTCCACCAGTTCTCTTTATTTTTCTCATCTTCTCTTCCTCTTATACTTCTGCTCTTTTTTTATTGTTTAATTATTGTTCTGATGTGTTATGACAATAAGAAAGGAAAATTACATTAAAAGAAGAAAGGTTACCAAAAAGACTTAGGTGATGAGCTTTCAGTTTACAATCTATGATGCCTAGATGGACATGGATATGGCAAATGGGGATACAAGTCTCCACATTTCCTAAAATCTGGGACACGAGCATGGGTATGGGTATCCCATATGACATGCTTATATAATGTGTTTATATCTTGTTAGTTATGAAAAAAATGTGTTTATATCTTGTTTTTGAAGCTAAATGTTCTAACATGTGCAATCTGGAAAACAAAATGATGCATTCATCTGCCCCCCCTCTCTCTCTCTGGTTGAATAAAAATGTCAATAATCACCCCTCTCCGCACCATTCATCTTCCTAAAACCTTACCATACTACCAATCTACCATCCCCCACCAAAAACTGAGTGTATCTCACAGAATTTAAATGAATTTTGTGATCCTTCTCTATACCAAAACTCCATAGGACGTCAAAACCTCCCTTTTATCCTATTCAACCCTTGCTACTTCATTCTTACATACCACCTAAGTATCAAAGTATCAGTATTGAGTATCGTATCGATAAGCTTGGATATAGATATACTTTTGAAACACGTGGATATGGTGGAAAGATATAGATACACTTGGATACATTAGGGAAATTGCCCAAAATCCCACAAATACATTAATAACACTGAATCTAAGGCTGATCAAATAATTGCAAATAAGGTATAATTGTATAAATACATAAGAAATGCATATTTTAATGGTATATATGGAGAAATGGATTACAATTAATATATCCGGATATATATATATATATATCATACAATTTTATTTCGATAAATACATTAAATTCTCAAATAGTTTGTAAGCAATATATTTGTTTTTTGTAAATTATAGATATGTTGTTATTTAATATAAATTAAAATATTAATTAATCATTTGTAAAAATATATAATCTTAAAAATATATCAAATCTATTTAGGTTTCTAAGATACATATCATATGCAAATTCATAAATTTTAATTACTAAAATAATTATTCCATTATTACTAGTTTCTATAATTTATTTTTGAGATTATTCATTTCATAGATTTTAATGGCATATACTAAAAATCATTTTTTGATATAAATGTGGGTTTAATAGATTATTCATTTCATCAACGTTTGTAAAATACTAATTTTGAAGATTATTCTTTTTAATTTTAGTTGAACAAAATTACATATTATTATTTATTTGGATTATATGTAAACACTAAATTAAATAAAAGTTATTTTATTTCAATTGTTAGCATGAGATGATAAGTTGGTCTAGTGGTCTAGGTGAGGAGCATACTTTGAATGTAGGCAACCTAGGTTTAAGTCATGCTAGCCCTAGAATTCATTTTTTAATAAAGAGATTTGTGGTGCCACATTTGAAATTCAAATTTCAAATAGGGTATCATTATATATCGGTGTGTATCAGCAATGTACGCCAAGGATTAAGGTATCGGTAGCATATCTTATCAGTATCGGAAGGCACCGATACTGGATATGCTATGACTGGAAGTGCACCCTTCCAATCGTGTGTATCAACTTGATACGCCACCGTACCGGTGCGTATTATATAGTATCGACCGATGTGATCCGATACTCAACAATACGGAGGCATATCGAGGGCATATCAAACAACACACTATAAAAATTAAAGTCTGGTGTGATTTGAACCCAAGACATTCGCGCCCAACAATTAAACACATCATTAACCACTAAGCCAACACTCATTTTATGACAATAAATGAAATACCAGTGTTTTAAAAGCACAAGGCCAATTTGCTCCTAAGGCGCAAGGCGAGGCACTATCTTTCTGAAGCAAGGTGCAAAATTACCAAAGAAATGTTAAAAAATAAAAAATGTCAGAAATTTCAAAAAATGACAAAAAATTAAAAAAAAATATTAAACATAATGTCAATAAAAAATATAAACTTAAATTTAAAAATAAAAGCAAACATATAAAGCATTTTCAAGCATGTAAAACCCACAATCTCGTTTTTTCCTCAATTGCATCACTTCAAGTAGCTAATGTGATGTAAAACATATTGCATTCTTGATTCTATGAGTCGCTTTTGTACCATGCCCCTCGAGGCAAGCCCGAACAAGTCCAAGTTAGGATCTTAATTTCTTATTTCTCACATAAAAAATAATGATTTTATAACTTTAATTGCCTTTTAAGAAGATACTTTATGTGAGAAATAAGAATTTAAGACCCTAACATGGACTTGTTTGGCCTTGCCTCGAGGGGCGTGGACAAGGGCCCCAACCTAGCCGTTAGGCTCCAAAAAAAGCAAAAAGCACAGAATTTTAAAAAGGCACACGTTTGGGTTGAGGCACAAGTGCACCAGGCACACACCTAGGTGCATTAGGCGTACGCCTTTTGAAAGGGGTATGCCTAGGACCTAGGCGAGGCACATACCCTAAAATGCGCCTCGCCTGTGCGCCTAGGCATGCCTTTTAAATCACTATGAAATACATTAACTTTTATTCAATTTAATGTCCACAACAAATTCAAATAAATAACATATATTATATTCAACCACCCTAACTATAAATTAAAAAGAATAATATTTAAAATTAATACTTTATAAACTAATATAACAAATAATCTATCAAATCCACATTTATATAAAAAAAAGATTTTTAACCTCAAGAAATTTATACAAATAAAAATATTAATAATAAAATAATTATTTCAGTACTTAAAATTTATGAATTTGCACATGATATGTATCTTAAAATTTTATAAATTAATTAATATTTTAAAACAATGCATTTATTATTTACAAAAATAAAAAATATTATTTACAAATTATTTGAGAATACAATATAAATCGAATCTATCAAATTCACTAACTACAATTATATAAAAAAATTGAAAATTTAAAGAAATAAAAATATTAATAATGGAATAATTATTTTACTAATTAAAAATTATGAATTTACATCTGATATGTATCTTCGAAGTTTTAATAGATTTGATATATTTTAAAGTTATTTATTTTCATAAATTATTAATTGATGTTTTAATTTACATTTTATAATAACATATTTATTGTTTCTGAAAACAAAAATATTATTTACCAAACATTTGAGAATTAAATTTTTAGTTGACCTTTGTGTTAATGTTAAAAGTTAAAAAAATAGATAAATAGAAAGTAATTGATATAATAATTCAAATATAATAGTTGCACTTTTTTTTTGCCTTGGACTTTTATAGAAAATAAAATAATAATGGCCGTGTATGTATTAATTTGTAAAAATCTATATAATATGTGTTGGACTCTTGATTAATGCATTATCAATAAAGTTGTATGATATGTATGCATCCTACTATAATAATTGTAGTATATTTCTTCACATATACCATCAAAATATACATTTCCAAGTTATTTATACACTATTTGTGGTTATTTTGACATTAAATTTAGTGGTATTAATATACTTATGTGGAATTTGTATGCATTTTCCTAGCATATCCAAGTGCTTCCATATTGTCCGTATCTATGCATTTCCAAAGCGTGTATCCGTATCCAAATTGTCCAATATGATACCTGATACTGATACTTTAATCCTTAGTGTACACCCTGTATCAGCAGTATTGCATCAACATTTTGATCCTTTGATACGCCCACCCTCCAAATTGCTTTTCTTTTCTTTCCAAATCTCCATAGCCACTTATCCAGTAATGGTTTATTAAACTCAATACCTCAGCTCCCTATCTTTTTGGCCTACATACCCTGTTTCACCACCAAATGCATCTTTCTTTCCTTGTTACCCTTGTTCCATAGAAATTCTTGTTGAAGTTTCTCCAACCGTTCCACCACTCTCACTGGAGTCCTTGTAACTTTGGTTCCTGGGGATTAGAACTCTCTCACATTAATGCATATATACTTCTTTGCTTCTATCCTCTTTTCCCTCTGAATTTTTATTTGGTTTCTTCAATATGATATTTCTTTTTTTTTTTATGTAGAGCTTCAATGTGATATTTCAACTTCTATATACATGCATACATACAATGATTTTTCTTACACCTTGTGTCTGCATTCATTCTAATAGGCCCTCCCACTGGAGTGTTATTGTATCTGTTGATCAAGATGTAATATGACCAAGTCATTATTCATAAATTTTCTTTTCTGTCTGAGAAAGGCAGTTTTCTTTTGCGGCTTAGATTTAACCCATATATTAATCTAATTCCTTGAAAATCAAACAAAGGAAAGAAAACAGGAAAAGAAAAGAAAGAAAAAAAAAATCTTTTCCTGCAACACCAGATAATCTATGACAGTCACTGTTTTTGTCATTTACTCACAAATGTTGTTATAAACAATTTGATCTGTCTATCAATCATTTTCCTTTTCTTTTAGGTATACTCCACTTCAATGGCAATGCTGCTGACAATGGTTTTATCTGTATATCTCTTCAATTTCAAACCCACATTGCAGGTAAGTTAATAGGTCTTAAGAGTATATAGTCCAAAACTCTTGTACATTTTTTGTCTACTTTATATTCTGTTAATGGCATTGCACATCTGGCTGACAAAAAAATGGCATTGCACATCTATCACTATATTAATCAAATAAACACAAGCAGATAGGCCTTTCAGTACTGGGATAAAGATGGGATGCACCTGCTTTTTGGTCCCATGTTTATCTAGCATTTTTTTTCTGGATCCCTTGTTTATCTAACGACCATTGATGCCTTTTGTTTTAACCTTTGTGCAGCTTTTCTTGGGTATTATTATCTGCATGATGTCACTACATATGTACTTTGCCCCTCCAAACATGCTTGTAGACTTGCCTTTGACTGTAAAGGCATCACCAGAGAGTCTTAATGAAATTTCTGTGGATCGAACAACAAATTCTTGATGTAAGGATTCATGCTTATCAAGGCTTAGTTTGGATTCACTAAAAATTGCATAGTTAATCCCATGCTAAATAAGTTGGGTGCATGGAATAATACATGAGATGTAGCAGTACTGATCAAATGGATATTTGAGTGGAACTAGCATACTTAGCGGATAGAGCCCATTTCTGTCTGATATCCAGGCATAGCCTAAATTATTAACTGGCTGAGATGATCATCCACTGGGATAGTTGATCATATATCAATAATCTTTTTTAAGATCTTGGTCAATTGATCGATAAGTCTGTCAACAATGTTTTTTATTCTCTTCCTAAAGTTTTCCCTAAATTGTCATTTTCCCAGGTGGGTCATTGCTGGGGGAACGGAAGAATCATTTTTCATCCAATGCATTTGAATGGACAAGAAACACATACTACTGTTGAACCATACAATGTCACAGGATCACCTACATTGATATATCCTCATCAATGGAGACTGTCCAATTAATGTGAGTTGTCTATGAGTTCAATCGTTCTTTCCAATTGTCACTTTACTAATATCATATGATTAGTCGTGTTCCTTTGATCTGACAGACAGATACACCAGTGATTTCGATGGTCTAATTTCCAATGTTTGGATCTTCTAATTAGATTGCTTTGGAGGTAAGGTGATTTACTTTCTTAAGGTTGTAGCAGCGACCACTTGGAGTTTGGAAGTGCTGCTCACCAGCACTTGAAGTCTGAAGAGAAAAAGACAAAATCTTATTATGTTTGGGTTGTTGGGCACAAGCCTACCAAAATGATAGAATTCTTTGAAGAATACTAGATTCTAGTTTCTTGGATGGTGAACCCATGTGGATACCACGTGAAATTAAACAATCTCATTATTTAATTATAGCCCTTATGCATTTTAGAGCACTACTAATTAGAATTAATCCTTGGCACATGGTAGTGATGTTATAGAAGAGGTTAGCCCGTTTTCCTTGGAAATGGGTAAATTGCACTCATACTATTGGAAGGAATGAGTTAATTAAGCCTTTTTTATTCATTGGCCACAGAAAGGTAGCCCACCCCCATTACTCATAAACCTCCCCAATCCTGGGTGATCCCAAGTCTTCACTACAACAAGCCTGAGAACTTATCAACTGAGTCACCATCAGTTGGCCATTAAGGTCTTATTCAAAATTATTTCTTTTACAATCTGTTTTGGGGACTGATTTGAGTACACATCCGGTTCTTATAAACCGAGTGCATTTGTTTTGTTAATTAATAATTAGGGCATTTCCCCTCTTGTTTTCATTCAGAGAAAAGAGAAACCTAGAAAATTTGATTCAGACCATTAGTAGTGCTTGTGCATATTCTTGTCAAATTTTAAAGAAAAGTTAAGGATATTTTTGTTTTTAATTTTTTCCATTAATCCCAATGGTTAAATGGTTTAACGAAGTATATTTAAATAGTATTGGAAGCCATTGTTTTTTTTTTTTTTTAAGTAAGCCAGGGGGTATATTCAAGTAATTTAGTGAAGCCAAAGGTTTTGATAAAGAAATGGAGCACTGTCATAGTTGAAGTGTAATCTAACCTTGCCGTCTGTTCTAACGTTAATGAAAGACTTTCTAGTTCAGGATTAGATGTTCGTTTTGATCCGAGGACCATCATTAATCCGTATGAATAGAGGCGATACCAGCTTCTCTCATCCCATAAGAATCCTTGGATCCGCCATCTCCTAAACTCTATTTATTTCCTTCATTTGGACCCTGCAGTCCACCTTTTACATGTACTTTCCAATACAATTTTGTTTTAATCTTTCATTTGAGGCTAGAAAGTTGGTTAATGAGTATATTTTTTCCATTGGTCAATTTTACACTGTTCTTTTTGTATTAAGCACCGAGTCTCACGGTAAAAAGAGCTTTATTTATTCGAGTAAGAATTACTCATCTTTCAGGTGGGTATCTAAATTTTTCATGTCGAAGAAAAATTTATAAAACATTATGGGATAAGTTTGTCATTTTTAGCATTAACTTTTTATGAGTAAAAAGGTCATTATATTACTTACCAAGTATGAAAAGAATATGGATAAGTGAATTTACTCGGGTTAAGTGTTACCCATGAAACATTTATTTGAGTAAGTGAGAAATTTGTAAATGAACGGAGCCTAACAAAAAAGTAATAAGAATAGGAGTTAATGGAAGTTGGAGGAAGTTTGGATTCCAAAATGAATTTCAATCTCATTTAAATTCTTGGGAGTTAACTATAAAACTTTACCTTGTATTTATATCGACAAGACATTGTTCATCTTTTCCTCCTCCTCTTTCTTCTTCCTCATTGTCGGTGAATAGATGAAAAAGAACTGCTGAACCAAGAATGAACCCATAACACCTATGCTCCTAAAGTATAGAACCTGATAAAAGTGTTCATGTTAATGAGCTTGTAATTTTAGCAAAAGAATCCAATTTGATTAAAGCCCTTTTTTTTATGATCAATGAACAGTAGCTTTCATCTCTCATTCCAAACCTTTGCTATTTTCCTCAAAATTTTACAAGCCACCAATGAATTCACAGATCGAATAACTCATTACATTTGAAAGATCTCAACCACTGATACCAAATGTTTAGAGGAAATTATAAACAAGGCACAAGATAGAACCCAAAGATTATGAGAGCCAGTTAAATGTGTTCATCTTAAATTGCCTAGTGTAAAACCTAAGATCTCTATTGAATAGCCTATTCACCATACTTGGTACTTGCATGAGAAAATTGGGGATAAAAGGAGATTCCTTGTTCATGTTTGAGATGTTGATATTTGATTGGGTGTATTCCATTAGAATCTGTTTTTTCAGAGGTGTTTTGTTTGGTTTATGTCTTCTTTTGATTGGGTGTTGATGGTGCGCGATTTGGCTACTCCTAACTGGAGGGCGATCCGAACTCCAAAGGGGCGGTGAGCTGGATCGATTTGCAAAATAGTTTATCAGAGAACCCAGGGTAGTTAACCTGGTGAGGTCGCTCTGATGCTTAAGTTAGTACTTATGTTGTGAATGCAAACTGAATGCTTGAGAACTTGAGTGCTAATGAGTAGAATAATCACGTGTACCTTGAGATTTCAAGTCTTTATATACTGGAGTACTCGTGTGCCTTACGGAAGAGCTATGGGATCTCCGAGGTGTGGAGATAAGGTTGGTTCCGTTTATTAAGGAGAGTAGTATGTTGATAAGGTTTTTCGTCTACCTTCGATTCAGGCAGAACTGGAATGAGTTCTTATCGTGATCTCGGGAAATTCGGGATCTGTTGGCTCATCATGACTTCAAGAGATTCAGGATCTGTTGGGGAGGCCTTTGGAGTCGGTTATGCGGCATTTCGGCTCATTAGATTTGAGTTGGAACTTCGATTCTTTAGTCCTGAACTGGATTGGGTGTCGAGGTGTCTCTACACCGAGGCAGATTTTGGGTCGAGGTGGTTGAATACTCGAACCGTGTATGTTGCGAACTGGGCTTGCTTGGATGAGTTGTCATCCTTCGATCAGATTACGCCTACATGTCCCCTTCTTGCTAGGTCGTGCCAAATCACCCTTCATCAATTGCCCCCCACTCCTCGTGCCAGGGGTCCTAGCCCAGTGCGGGGAGTTCATGAAGAGTCCAAGCAGATTTGGCACAAAGTCTAGTCAATTTGGAGGGCAAACCGTTATTCAGGCCTGTTCAACCATTTGACTCAGCCACGAAATGACCCAAGTCGCGTCTCGAGCACGCGTGGATGTCACATTATTTATAGATTTCACGGACGCCAAAGAGCACGCTCAACCGATTTCATCCTTGGGTAGCGTGCAGCCGGTTTTCATGGGAGTCGTTGAATCGTACAGGTCTCAGCCGTTGATCGTCGGATGCGGTGGACTATAAATAGGGGGCCGAAGGGCCCATTACCTTCGCCAAAAATCTTGTAATTGAGCTCTCTTGAGGTCGCGTTGGAATCATTCAGCTCACCACTCCTTCCTTTGTGTCTGAGGTCGTTGTCGTCCTTTTGGTGAGTTTGTCTTCTTTTATTAGTTGTTCCCCTTTCCTTTTCCTGTCCAGTATCTCTAGTGCTAGCATAGATAGGTTACTTAATGATTCTAGTGAGCCCGAGGGTGCCGAGGTGTGGTTCTCGACTCCCGCCGGTGAGGTTAGCTCTTCGCTAGAGAACTCCTCTTTACACCTCTTAGGGGAAACACCTTTACCCAACGTTGGGCCATCTCGGCCTGAGGAACCTGAACCTCGAGTAGAGCGATCGATCTCCGGAGAGGGGGTCCCATCTTCTTCTCGGGGTCGAGACCCGGATGACTTTGGCCCTTCCACGATGACCTCGGATAGATTATTGTCCTTGGTAGCCCGTTACCGTCTTCCCAACACCCTTACCTTTAGTATTCCTTTGGGTTAATACCCTTGGGTTCATGGTCACTACGAGCTCGTGGTTTTTGAGGAGCAGCTCGTAGCTGGGTTGCGCTTCCCGCTCTACCCTTTCATCATAGAAATTATTAAGTTCTTCGACATTACCATTGACCAGTTACACCTGAACTCAATCCGAACCATTGTTGGCACGATCTCTCTGTTCCATGAGTATAACCAACCTCTTTCCCTAGACACCTTTAGTTCGATCTACTCTATCAAGAAGAACTCTACTTGCCTACGCGGGGACACCCGGCATAGTTACTACATTTCCCCCCACCCTGGGTTCAAAGTCTTGTTCGTAGCCCGAACAAAGTACCGGCCTAGAAGAGGAGGTACTTTTTTGTTTGGAACCCTGAGGGATGGCCATTCCCGACTCATTAGCGAGTGGCCATTAAGGACCCCGGGGTGAGGCTAGATGTTGAGACTGGGGCAGTCATTAATTTCTGGAGGGACCTCGGCCTTGAAATGAAAGATTTCTTGGCTGAGAAAAAGCTTGTACGAGTTGGGCTGAGTCCTTCTGGTAGGCCTCCACCTCGGCACACACATTGTTTTTTCTTTCTTATTTTGCACTTACTTCAGTTTGTGACTAACTTCTTCCTTTTTCTCTTGCAGAAGCTATGATAGGCGTTGATGCAGCAAACCTTCTGCGGAATGTTCAGAGGGGAAAGAAGAGGAAGGCCTCGAAGAGGTCTCGTTGGGAGGTCGGTCCTTCGGTTCCCGCCCAACCCGAGGTTGCTGTGCCAGAGCCGATCTCATCCGAGCTCCCAGAGGAGGAGGTCTGTCCCCAACCTCCAGTCGTTGACCTAGACAAGGACCATGACGAGGGAGCCCCGCCTCGCGAGCCCAAGGGTATTTCGGTGCCTAAGCCTCAGCTCCCGAAGGAGAGCATAATGACCCCGCGGCTCGGGCTCCTCAAGAGAAAGGATGTCGTGTTTTCTGCGGAGGTCGCAAAATGGGCTGACATGCCAACAAGTCAGCTCGGAGGAAGAGCGGCTAGTTACTGCATGGTGGTGAGTAACCCGCCCCTTTGCTTTATTTTCTTACTCTTTTGTTAATAGTACTTACATCTGCTTTCTATTTGCCAGGTGAACTCCGTTATTCATTTACTCGTCTACCAGTTCGAGATTCGTTTGAAGCAAGCCCGGGAGGCTAAAGAGAACGCTCAGAAGCTTTAATCCGAAGGGCATGACCTTGTAACAGTATAACCCAAACTCAATTATGAAGGCGGTCTTCTCTTTGTCAGCAAGATCCATCCTAATATGGTTGTAACCGGAATAAGCGTCCAGGAAGCTTAGCAACTCATGTCCTAAGGTCGCATCCACTAGGCGGTCAATCTTGGGTAGCGGGAAGCAATCTTTCAGGCAAGCTATGTTCAGGTCGGTGTAATTGACGCACATGCGCCACTTGCCATTGGTTTTTTTCACCAGAACCGGGTTAGCCACCCACCTCGGGTAATGGACTTCCCTGATGAAGTCTGCCGTGAGGAGCTTCCCAATCTATTCATCGA